TAGTATTCCCTAAACATGACCTTCTGGAGGTGACCATCCAAGTAGCAGCAGAACCACAGCAATGCAATTCTGTGCCCCCATTCCCAGCTCAAACAGTCACACCAGAGCAACCAAAGTGCATTCTATGCCAAAACCCAACCTGAACTCTGACTGAAATGAATCCAGATAATCTGTTTCATCCAAGAGTGCCTGGAGCTGGCTCCACACACCCACCTCAAGACTTTGCCCAGGAAGGAACATTTGCCACCAGCATAAAATTAAGAACTTTCAGGTCTAGGGAAGAGTTCTTCAGGAGTGATCAAACAATTAATTACCTCTTTCAGAGAGTGTGGAATGCTTCCTCTCACAAGGAGTCATTAATCACCACCCTGACCCACTGGCTGTTCCCTTCCTACTGGTTTTTGTTAACTGGAGTGGGAAGAGGGGGAAGGATCCTACACGAGAAAGTAGTTGCATTAACATGTGTCCCAGTTTGCATGACACAGGGCAAGGGTCTCAAACTCAACTTCCCTGGGGGCCGCTGGAAGTAGAGTCTGGGTGAGGCTGGGCCGCATCAAGTGGCGGTGGTGGGCCGCTCATCCCGCGTCGCTCCCGGAGGCCGGCCCGGGTGCTGCCGGCACTTTGAAGGCCTCAGGGCCCCTCCCCCTCCCCGTGCCCCGCCCGGCCCGGCAAGTGGCCCGCGGGCCGCGAGTCTGAGACCCCTGACATAGGGGGTCCATCATGGGTTCTTTAATCCACAAGGCACAATGCATGAAGCATTTATATGTAGCTGCTGTTTTGAATATGCAATATTTGCTCAGGAGAACTGGGAAAGTGGCTTGTTGTGTGAACGACAATGGTGAAACAACCCTTACATAACCTTCAATTGTAGTGAATAACCCACTGTGTTAATACTTAGTGGTTTGGTAAAAGAATGGATGGAATTATACATTCTAACAAATGCTGAATTAAATGGCATAAGAATCCCATGTTGTGAGGCTTCCATTTGTCACATATACACAAAACCACAGAAAGAGCCAGCAGAGACATCTTATGCTATATATTTCCAAGGGAGCTTGAGAACTATAGTTTAACGGGGATGCTGATCTCTCTCTAAACTTTAGTTGTTGCAGTTTAAATCCCCCCTCCCTTGGGGTTTGGTTCTTTGTCCCCTGCCTCACTCTTTGGGTGAGTCTCTAACACATTTGAAAATTGAGTTCTGACCTGGGATCTGGCAGATAGCATGGGATTACGGTGCCTGTGACTGTCTTCCATTCCGAGCCTTTCAGATGCATTCAAGATTAACTATGGGAAAACACGTGCACAAAATGTGCAAAAAGAAGTAAAACCCAGTTTTGGGAGCATTTCTTGATAGTGACTGAAAAAGGCATAGTTTGAAACAAGAAAACAGCAGTATGTGAAACTGACCTAGTATCACTGAGATGGTAAACCTTGGTCTGATGTGTACCACATCAGAAGATATACGAAGACATGCCAAGACATGCCCTGCATGTAGAAAGCAAGCATGTCCAGTAGAAGGCTAGCTTTTGGAATAGAGGAATATCCAAGTAATGTAAATGCCCCACCTGCAGTCTGGAGTGGAAAAGCTGAGAAATTGACTAAGCACCTGATTGAGACCTAGTCCAGACTGTGCAAAAACAGAGACAGGCAGGCAAACTGGGACACCAACTTAGTACCTTCACGATGGGCTGTCACCCATTGCATTTAATAGGATTGTTGTATTAAAATTCCTGAGCATTGGATGTATCTATCACCACACCTCAGAGGGAGAACGGGGATATGCTCCCAGGCATATTAGAATCTGAAGTGAAAAACGTCTGTGTTAACTAGCTCCTCTACAGAGTCATGGCAGCTGAAATTAGATTGATAGTCCTAACTAATGTCTACAGTGGGTGAGACAGTTTTCTTCTTCTGAAGATAAAACACTGGCTTAACTAAAGTTCTATGTTGTTTCCCACAATCCACTTGGCTAGCCATAAGGGCCTTTTCTGACATCCCAGAGTACAATGACCCTGAAAAAGCTCTTTGCAAAGGCAGTTGTTTCATTTGGTGGCAAATACCAGCACCTTGCTGCTTTGCTACGGAACAAATCCCCAAACTGCAAGTTCTTCATCAGTCTCAGAATTAGACACAAACTTGTACTGAATCCATACATAACACTGCAGGTACCTACTGGAGCCGCCCCGAGGCTTCGGCGAATGGGGCGGCATAGAAATTTTCTAAATAAATAAATAAATAAATAAATACTGACTTGTTCCCTGAAGGGTCAGAATTGGATGAGCTGTCACCATGAACAACCCAAGTGGAAGCAGGTTGGGGGAAGTGACAACTGATTTTGATTGCTCTAGACTTCAGGAAGACCAAAGGCCTCAAGGCACACAGCAGTATAGCATCCTCAGAATGCACAGTGATCTGTGAAGAGAGCTGTCATGGTTCCGTCGCATCCCTCAACCTCCACGCAAGCTTGCAAAAAAATAAAAATAAAAAAAAATGAAATGAAATGAAACGAGCTGATCTCCTTTGCTCACACAGAAGCTAATCAGGCCTTTCCCACTGATATGTCTCCTTTTCCGTGTGGAATTTTTTAAATGAATTGATTGCACTCAATATGGTGACATATGCCCAAGGTCCAATTTCTCCCCATTGTCCACAGGGACGTGCAGAATCAACAGACTTGAACTCAAAGTTCTCCCAATTCCATCTTGAAGCTCATTCTGACTTGAATCCACAAGGGATTGCAAGCTTAGTTTTTTCTTTTCACATGAAAATCTGTGCCTTGTTGTGTATACATCAATTGTGCGTATCTTAGAACAGAACATATTCTTCTCCCACTGATTAAACCTATTTGTATCAATTTTTCAAAAATGCATGTTTTTCAACTACATTTTTCAAATATGGACATGCTGTCGAGCATATTTTTTGGGGGGAGGGGCAAATTGCAAGTCTGGAAATGTGCAAACTTCAACTACGGTGTGTAACTGAGTCCATGCTCAGTTGGAAAGGTGCACACTTGATAAATCTTGCGAAAGATGAGCTAAAGTTATTTTCTGATACATCTCCAAGTGTCCTCCCAAAGTTTTGAAGGAAGATGAAAGACCCTGGCAGCAGATCAGAGATACTGTGCTCTATCTTTATTTCTGTTCTTTTACAAATTAAGCAGTTATAAATTCCCTTTAGGCACAAGTTGAAAGTTTGTGTGTCTTTACCAAAACTCAGCAATGTAATTAGGTTTTATTTTGCTGAAAGCTGGCCTTCCACAGAAAGTCCACATTCTGCCAAGTTCCACTAAAATCAAGAGGCTGTTCACAAATGTGAACACACATGAGCCAACATGGTTCCAGGAAGTGGGCAAAGGGGAAGCAGTTAACTCTCCAAACAAGTTAGGATAGCAATATGCTACCCTTCATTAAAAGCAGTCCTGTCAGGCACAAAGCAGATTACCAAGATGAAGGGAGAAGTTCACCTTTCAACTTTAATCTCACAGAAAAATGCTAACAATTTTGAAGAGGACAGACTACAAAATAATTTAGCTGATCTATTCTAGTGGACCAGCAGTGTTGCTAGAATTACACACTCCTCTTCCAGACAAGAGAAATGAATTGCTCCTGCATGAAGATCATCTCTGTGCAACTCAAAAACACACTATCTTACTGAGCCACACAATCTGTCTGATTAAGGAATCACAAGAATTGTTTGCGGCTGCATTCCTTATGGGGGACCACCATCGTAATGAGAATGTAGCAAGCACTTGTAGACTCTGCCTCCTTGGTATTTATTTATTGTTTGTTATTATATTTATATCCTGCCTTGATTCCACTTGCAAGGAACCCAAGGCAGCCTACATGGTCCTCCTCCTCTCCATATTATCCCCACAACAACCCTGTGAAACAGCTTAGGCTGCGAGTAAGTGGCTAGCCCAAAGTCACCCAGTGAGCTTCACAGCCATGTGGGGACTAGAACCTGCAAAATGTAAAGTGGGAGAAGAGTCACAGATGGCCATAGACACCTGTGAGGACATTAAAAACCTCAAAGCAACACAGAAACAGAAGGCTAAAGAGAAAACAGCAAAAGATCAGCAAGTAGGTGGATTCCACTCTCTCCACCTAGAACAAGCCAGAGCTGTAGATTAAATAAAAGACTGCAACACTCATGCCCAGCTAAAAAGACCACCCCACCCAGTCTCATGCCTAGCCTGCAGAGGATGAGGAACGCAGAGTGCAACCTGGCAGCTCACAAAAACCCAGCAGAGAGTGGAAGGAAGAGATGGAAGCCAGGAGAGTAAGCTGAAGCAGGATCAGCACTTTTAAGGAAACGTACGGTCCTTGTAGTTATTTATTCTTGTTTTAACTTTTATATCAGTCATGGCTTTAAAAAGATATGCATACCTACAAAAGAACCTTAATGGGTACAAATGAGGTCTGTTCAGGGGGACCCTGAGTATATCAGGTTAATTAAGAGAACAAGGAAAAACACAGGCTCAGCTTAAGAGCATATGAGGACCAGCAGGTACATCTGGATAGAATTGTTATTTATCTAAAGTGGTGCTACTGGAGTAAGATTTTCAGGGTCAATTAGAATTAGTAGGGTGCCCTAATCATAGGAATGTCTTTTTTAATGGCTAGAGAATGATGTGCAGATAGTTTGTTAAACAGATCTGCGTATGGTCATTGAAGGGCTGGAAACCTTTCAAGTCCTACTTATGCTAGTGTGAGCTCTTAGAAGAAAGGGTAAGACACAGATGTAACACAGAGCTAACATACACTGAAAACCAAGGAGACATGCATAAGTGGGGGTGAATCAGAAGTGGGGGGCTACAGGCAACAGACGTGAAACAGGAGCTGAAACACAGGGAGACAGCAAGTGAGACTGGCCCTACCTTTAACAGCAGCTGACCACCACTGGCCGTGGCTTGGGCCAAGCCCACACAGCAAGAAATAGTGCTACCAATCCACCAGGAATTGCCATGAACAAACAGGGTGGGAGAAGTGCCCATCACCCACCTGAGTGTGTGCGGAGGTGACCAGTGAGTGCATCTCTCCTCCGGCAGGCATAGTTGCAGAAGGGACATTTGAAAGGCTTCTCACCCGAGTGCAGCTTGATGTGGCGCAGGAGGTTACCCTTTTGGGTGAAGGATGCACCGCACTGATTGCAATGGAATGGTCTTTCACCTGGAAAGAGGATCATCATTAGTGAGTACCCAGAGAGGTTAACTGAGAGCAGGGGTCCTCCAACTTTTTCACCAGGGGGCCAGTGGAAAGGTGCCGGTGCTGGCGTGGGCCGGAAAGGGGGTGCCAGCGGGGCGTGCAGGCCAGTGTGGGAGCGGGGTATGCATGTGCGTGCTGAGGTGGGGCGGCGGGCATGGCGAGGCGCAGGCGGGCAGGCAGGCGCAGCGAGGGAAGGTGAGGCAATGCAGGGGCAGGCACGCGCCATGATGCAGCAACGGGCGCATGATGCAGTGGCTTGCTCGCTCGGAGGTTGTTTTCTCTGAGCGAGTCCAAAACGATCTCCTCGCGAGCAAGCCGCTGCCTCCCTGCGCGGGGGGCGAGGTGGGTGGCAGCTGGCACACATGCAGCACAATGAAAACCTCTGAGACGGGCCAGATAAATGGCCATGGCGGGCCGGATCCAGCCCCCGGGCCGTAGTTTGAGGACCCATGACCTAGAGCCTTGCATTGACTAAGCACTGTCCCAGCCCTTTTTCCCTCTGTGATACTATCCTTCTTCGTGGAAAACATGTTTATTGGACTTTGTTTATCCTGTTGCCAAATTCATTGTTCCTAATCCAGGATCCCTTAATCCAGGTTACAAGCATTTATCCAGATCCTGAATGGAACCAATTTTCACATTCTAAATATTTATTTTGGAGGGTTTAATGCTAACAGCACCATTCATTCATTCATTCATTCATTCATTCATTCATTCATTTGATTTCTACACCACCCAACAGCTGAAGCTCTCTGAGTGATAAGTAACGGTAATAAATGCAACATAGAATAAAAGAACAATAAAATATAACTTGTTTTAACTTTTGCACACAGAGAGAACTGGGGACAGGGTAAGCTAGGCAGGGCTAGGAGCCTCAGGTAACAGGTCAACTGCATGCGCTTTGCATGTATTCTTTAGATACAGTGAAGTTACTGTCGGTGCATGCCAATCACATGGGCATAAATAATTCTCCCTTGTAGTAAGACACTTCCCATGGAGTGCCTGCGGGGATGAGCCCCCTAGAGCTCCAAATTAGCCAGTTTTGGCTCCTCTGGCCTTGCAGGATGAGGAAGGGGCATCGCATTCTATCACTAGTGGGTGGCCCTGCAGCTGTACAGTCCAATCAGGGACTGAAATCAGATGGGACAGAAACTGTGGATGCCCGATTGCCTGACTTGGACTCCTTCTAACGCAATGCTTTGCTTGCAGTAGATGGTTGTAGGAGGCAAGCAGCCTGCCTCCTTTGTTGAGAACCTGACACGTGTTGCAACATTTACTCCTGAATTTGAGATGAAAAGGGAGGAGAGAGCAAGCATGAGAGGTATTTGCTTGCTTGCTATTCCTTTGCTTGGTGAGCAAGGTCGGAAAGCACAGTTCAGCTGGTATGTAAACTTGCTTTAATGGAAGCACTGGTGATCGTAGAGGGGTTTCTCCTTTTCTTTGGATATGTTATTTTTCTTTTTACAAGATAATTTACAATCACTTCTATGTTGTTGCTGGCTGCTATGGCTTACTTTTCCTTTTAGCAATTGCTGCTGGTGGTAGCGAGGGATTTATTAGAGGAACTGAATTGATAGAGGACGAATGAACTGGCTCTGGCTGCAATCTAAATCTAACAGGCAGGGAGGGGATAGCATGGATTGGATTCCTTCTCTGCCTACACTGATGAATAGTGATTAGCCAGTACTGATTTAGGGTGAATTAAAATGTCACAGATTTATGTACTATACTCTTCAGTTAATTGTTCTAGCACTTTAAAAATAATCCAGTTATGCTTGTTGGTGGCCTTTCAATTCTTTTTCAGTCATTGGTGCTTCTTGGTGGCTATCCAATTTCTTCCTACGCCATTTCTAGTGGTTCTGGGCCATTTATGTTTTAAGGAAGCATGTGTCTCGGTGGCACTGGCTGCCCAAAGCTTTAAAAACCTTCTGAGCAAAGTGCCTCCTGTGGCCAACTTCTGTGTGTTTAAAATGCTCCAGTGCAAAACATCTGCAGCTCCTCTGCCTTTCCGCTACGTTGCACCATCCAGCGTCTTAAGAAAAATACAGCATCACACGACCTTCATTTTATTTATGCATTGCTTAAGTATTGCAAGGGAGAAAATAGTGTAGCAAACTAAATGCAGTTACTTCTGCCTCTGCTAACCCTTTGGCTCCATCCCACCAATCACATCGGCCACCAGTTGCCACGTCATGCATGTTTTTCATGCAGAAGGCCCTATGTTCAATCTCTGGCAACTCCAGATCCAAGTTGTCTTAGGGAGTGTGCAACAAACAGCATCTTGGACAACTAATTGCTGCAGGCACTATGCAAGCACCAAGCATGTGTGCTAGTCCGCAGTGCTACTGTTTACCGGCAGCCTTGCCTGCTCTCCAGCAGGGTTGCTGCTAGCCTTGGGCCCACAGGGCCTGGCCCTGAATGAATTCTCTGGGGGTCCAGATCTGTGCTTCAGAGACCTGAGTGCCCTTTACTGCCAATGAAAGATTGTTTTTTGTTAATTTAACTGCCATGATTTTTCAAGGGGGAACACAGATGCCTAAGCAGCATCCCCCTTGACATGACGCAACATCTCTTAACACAAAATGCTTTTGGACTGGCACTGTAACATTTCTGAAACTTAATGCTGGTGCAAATTTTGCCATTTTTGCACGTGCATGTTGCTCAGAAAAAGACAACCAGCCGCTCCTGTTCTGAATTTATTCAGACTGGTGAAAATTAATTTGCAGACTAAGAGAAATTACTGATTTGAGATGATCTGTGACAAGGTACAAATTAACCAAAGAATTTATTTTGAGGAGATCTGCATGACAAATTGGCTGGATGTGGCTTTTGTTAAATTTTAATAAACCTTAGTAATTCTTTCTAAATTTGTATATATAAAAAACTAGCACATAGCAACTTTATGTAGAATTGTGCCATATAATAGTAGAATTTGAAGGGGCCTAATAAGGTCACTGAGTCCAACCCCCTGCCCAATGCAGGACACCAAAGAAAGCATCCCTGACAGATGGCTGGCCAGCTGCATCTTGAATGACTCCAATGTGAGACAGCCCACAACTTCCCTAGGTAATTGGTTCCATTGCTGCACTGCTCTGACAGTACGTTTTTCCTGAAGTACAGCTGGAATCTGGCTTCCTGTAACTCGATCCCATTATTCCATATCCTGCACTTTAACACAATTGAAGAGATATCCTGGCCCTCTTTTACATGATAGCCTTTGAAGGATTTGAAGAGTGCTATCATATCTCCCCTCAGCCTTGTCTTCTCCAGGCTACATATGCCCACTTCTTTCAGTCTCTCCTTATAAGATTGTTTCCAGTCCCCTGATCATTTTTGTTGCTTTCCTCTGAACCTTTTCTAGTTTGTCTGAACCTTTCTTAAACTGTAGAGCCCAGACCTGGACACAATGTCCAAGACTAGACCTAAGTAGTGCCAAATAGAGGGAAATCAGTACCTTACATGATTTGGAAGCTATACTTCAGCTAATGCAGCCCAAAATAGCATTTGTTTTTGTTTTTTTGCAGCCACATCACATTGTTGACTCGTATTCAGCTTACGATCTATAAAAATTCTAAGGTCCTTCTTGCTTGTAATATTGTTGAGCCAACTATCCCCCATCTTGCAACTGTGCATTTGGTTCACTTTTCCTAGGTGCTGAACTTGGCATCTGTCCTTACTGACTTGCAATCTGTTGCTTTAAGCCCAGTGCTCTAGCCTATCAAGATCTCTCTGAATTCTGTTTCTGTCTTCCAGGGTATGAGCTATCCCACATCTGCAAGTCTGATCTGCATTCCCTGCACCTTCTTGTCAAGTCATGAATAAAAATGTTGAGCTGCACTGGTCCCAGGACTGAGTCCTGTGGTACCCTGCTCATTACCTCTCCCCAGTCTGAGAAGGTGCCACTGAGAAGCACTCTTTCGTCCAATTCCGTGTCATGTGGGCCTGGGCCTAAGACCTTTAAGTTGTAGCAATGCCCTTGCTCACCAGTGTGGCTGCGTTTGTGCACCATCAGTACGTTTGGGCCAATGCACACCATCCCACAGATGTCACATTTCAGCTTGCCATTGGGTAGCCGGATGCCGCCAGGGGAATGTGGCTCCTGTCCTGTCCCATCACAGTAGCCAAGGGGCTCAGAGAGGGAATCCTCAACAATCACACTCTCTTCTTTTTCAATGAGCCGGACATCATGTGATAGCAGCCGGCTTGATTCTTCATCGCTGTACATTTCCACCTTGATAGAATTTGCTATGAGGGAAAAACAGATAAAAAATATTAATACTTTACATTAAGTATTTGTAAATGGTTATGCTTTTTTAAAACAACTGCTACATGCCTGGAAAATGAAAAGTTTAAAAATTGAATTTGAATCTGAGAATAAGCAAAATGAGTGATTAAAAATCAATAAAAAACACTTCCCTATTATTATCAAAGGCCAAGGGATAGCATGATAGACATTTCTAGCAGTGTGCCTGATGTGGAAAAATAACCTTTCATGCCTTTTCTTTCTAATACTAGGTATGCTTCTGGGTAAGACTACTATGGCCCCACTACCTTGTCTTAGTCACAGAATTTTATGGGGGGTCCAGACAGCAACGTCCCTTCCTATGTTTTCCTGCTGCTTCTGCTGTCTTCTGGCTATGACAGAAGCTGAAATCTGTTAAGAAAGAAAAGATGGAATAGCTACACAATGCCTTCTCATCAGTAATGCTAGGAGTCCTCCCTCTAGCAACATCCCAAGACTTTAAGGAAACTGAATGGGAGTACATTCAGGACAGGCCAAGTTCTTTGCACAGGTCAGACCCATGGGAGGACAGAAGTATTAACACCAAGTAGCCTTTTAATAAAATAAACCCTTTTTATTTTCCCAGTATTTAAGGTTTGATTGTGATGGTAACATGGGGTTTTATTGTATAGAAAATCAATTCGGATGCTGTGTTCCATTCTGTTTTATTGTAAGACCGTCCAAGGCCTTGGCAGTGGATGGTATATAGAAGTTTAAAATAAAATAAATAAATAAAAATAAAGTAGTTGTAGTAGCTAAATGAAACTCCTGTATTAACCTCTGCTAAACTGGTACACTCCAGATGAAGTTGTCGACACCGCACACAATTTCCTCCCTTCCAGAGGGCATCAGGTTAGGGAAGGCTGCTCTGCATTCAAGGCACTTTCCAGGTGCCATATGGCAACAACAGGAGAGGGATCTGACCTTCATGGCCTGCCTCTGGGCTTTTCTGGAAGCATCTGGCTGGCCACCACTGGCAAGAGGATGCTGGGCTAGATGGACCTTTGGCCTGATCTAACCTGACTCTTCTTATATTGCTTGTATCAAAAGGAGAACTAGTCCAACACTATCCCCAGGGTTCCAATCAATAGATGGAGGAACAGGCTTGCTCCTCCACTTGGTATCCAGCCAGCTAGAGAGGGGTGATGGATGTTTTACCCCCAAAATGTGGAACCAGCTTAAGAGCGGCCTTCTGAGACATAAGGTATGAATTCTACCACCGTAGCCCTGCAATATTATTTTAAAAGGAATTTGCAAGAGTTTTCACATATAGACTTATGTATGCACACATATGTATGCACACACGTTAGTAGATTTAAACCTGGGATCTGGTCTTTGAATAACCCCCTATCAATTGATTTATCAAGGAGTGAACAAGAAATTGGGCTACTATGATGTAAAGCAAGTTCCTGCCAAGAGAACACACAGGAGGCCAGTAAATCCAATTTCATCAGATGATGTACAGGAGATACACCATTTCAAGGTGTTAAACATGTTCAAATATTTAAAAGCAGGAAAAATAAATAAGGTAGCGATGATACCACTTCTCTAGAAAGGAGTCTGGAATTTCAGTTTCACATCAGACTGCCAAGTTGTCACGTAAATGTGGGACATTTCGCACATATTACCCACAAAGCATTCCTCTCCACTAAGGAAAATAAGTACAATCAAATAGCTGCAATAGTGGACAGATTCTCAGGATTTAATGGTCTTGGGTCACTGTGTTTAGGCTGTACACAAATAACTGATAGGTGAATGAAATCAGACAACTACACATTGTGGAATGGAAAAACCTTTCACATATCCGGCAAAAGTAAGCACTTTCCACGGCAGTGGAAACTCACAACCTGGAAAACAGACAGCATCTAGCACAGGGTTGCCCCCGGAAGCAGGTAATGGAATATACGTTTGAGAAATGAGGGCTTCCTGATTTTGTGTACTGAAACATGGAGTAGGCTTCATTTCAGAAGGAATGCTGTTAAAGGTCTCGCAAAATAAACACCCTTCTCCCTTTGGTCCATAGCCAGACTTAATCATTCTGCCTTAGCCGCAGCATATTTAGAAAGAAGGATTCTCACGTTCGAATCGCCTCCTAATCTATCACTCTTAGAGCATTCTGTAGCATTTTGCTACAGTGGAAGAACCACCAGAGGAAGGATCAAAGTAGATGGGATCAGGAAATTTTGTTTCAAAGACAAGAAGCTCCTTTACACTAAAGCAGACTAACAGTCCAGGCAGAGTGCTACAGTCTATGTCTGTGGCAGAAGAACTGTGGCCCTCCAGAAGTGCTATGCTGCAACTCGTATAAGAATTAGCCAAAATAACCATTGATGGCAGATGCTGTGAGATGCAGACTACCATTATTTGGAAGATCACACATTCCCCAAGCTTGACTGGCAATGCCTCTCCCAAACTATGTGGAGATGATGGGAACTGGACAGGGACCTTCTGCATGCAAAGCATGTGCTCTGTCACTGAGCTATCATCCATGTTTGTTATTCAAATGTCTGACCTGTGTTCTTATAAAGAAGGAGGTGGCAGTTTTTAAGGTGAAAAGGGGAGATGGACCCTACTCTGCCTCATCATCTCTTCATGCTTTCTTGCACCAGGTATTTCTTCTGGCCCAGCTCTTTTCTAGGATCAGAAAAAAGTCTGGGGCAGAGTATCTCAGCAAGGTTCTGTTCCTCTTGCCCATGTACTCTTTTTTCACACTGAAGAAGTCCAACATCCCCTTCTTTAGTTATGGATAAAGCAAATCCAGCTGCTCCAGACACACCTTGCATGGCCCCAAGAATGGCACTTTTTGCTACTCTCAGGGGTTATGGAATGGGGGATGTTGCCTATAGACTCTGCATGACACGACACAACACACAGAATTAAGGGGGTAGGAACCATCTAATTGCCATGGATCTTCCCAAAGACTGTTTGATCTGTGGCATTCCTCAGAGTGTTAGAGTAGTAAAGAATGGAGGTCATCACCGGCATAAACTTCTTCCCACTATGCAGCTGCAGCCTATCATGCTACAGAACGGAGAAACTGGGAAGGCTTGTGATGGAAAAGCACAGCCATTGCTTCCAGCCATGGGGAGAACGCTAGTGTAAATAATTTACCTATACGTACTAAATATCTTGGCATTAATTACTTTGGTTAGAGGCAGACTATGTAGACTCTCTTCACAAACCTCGGTATTTAACAAGAATTCTACATAATTTTTACTCTGAAACCAAACAAAACGTTAAAGCATGCATTTCTTTAAGAAAACAAACCTTTGCAAATTCCTTGTATTTGGCATGGTGGATAGCAGGAAATAGTAACTGAAGTCATGGCAATTTAGAGCTCTAGACATAGCTACCCAGGACAAGTAAATACAATACAGAGTATACTATGCTTCCATGAATATCAGTAGTGCCACAGAGAGCTATCCTTCTCCAATAAAAAACAGTTTAATATGACCACCAATGGTTTCTTATCTGGTGCCTAATCCCATTTCAGCTGATTCTTCATACAACCCTGGGGACAGGCAAAAGGCTAAAAGTACTTTGGCCTTAGTGTGAAAAACCAAAAGAAGTTAGCAGTCTTCAACACTTCAGTTAGCTGCTGAATAATAGACTTTATCTGTATATTTCAGGAGCAGGCCACTTGTGACCCTTCAGATGCTTTGGCCTACAACTTCCATCAGTCCTGGACAGCACAGCCAACAGTGAGAGATGATGGGAGCTGTGGGCCCAAATATCTGAAAGGCCACAAGTTACCCACCCCGGCATATAAGCTTCTTCAAAAGTAAAAGTATGTAAGAGAGTCTTTTTGTGCTACTTGGCTTATAAATAAATAGATAAGAAAGACTCACTCATATAATAGGGAATAGCTCTACTGGTTAGAACAGCAGCCAACCAACACAATCGGGAGGCTCAGAACTACCAAGGTTACACTGAATGAGATCCATTCATGCCCACAAAAGGGAGTTGGTTTAAGTCAGCCATTAAGCCAGACATTAAAAATTCTCCAGGAGAGAGAGGGAAGAATCCACTCTTCACCTAACAACTACCCAGCTCAGGCTCCTTGTTCTAGGAGAGTGATATCTTATAGGTTGAAGAAGGAAAAGCAAATGGCATGATTAATATGCTTGAGGTTCGAGTCATTCAAGATTTAGTCTCTGTTTGGAACGAAGAGCCAAGGCAGGCCAAAGCCCCATAGCATCCAGTATCCTCAGCTCTTCATCTCTCCTCCTCATCAACAGAAACACTAAGGTGGTGTTTCCAAAAACCATTTAAGCCAAAGTGTGGAATGGGAACGGAAATGGGACCTGTGACCAGCTCACGTTCTTAGGACAGGTGAAAAACTGGAATTGAGAGAATTAAGAAGAGAATGGTTTCCTGGGAGCAACATCTTGGAGATCCAGCACAAGTTGACACCTCTGTGCACAAATATGAAGTGAAAGCCTGCTCACTGGGGCAGGAGCTGCTCAGATACACTGATGCTGGCTGAACTTTGATGTTTTCCCATCCCCTCGGGATGAGTGGGTTTATTTTTTTCCTGGACTGAGAAGGGAGGGCTGGCTATGGTTCTGCAACCTTCCTTACAGAAGGAAAGCAGTGTCTGGTTCGGCTGGCAAAACAGGTTATGTAATATTCCTGCTCTACTGGGGCATGAGCTTGCTGGCTGAACCAGCTGTGAAATCAAGACTGATCAGAAGCAACACTATCAGCCTACGTCTCCCTGTTAAAGGGGAAGATATTAATTTCCTGCTTGTTCAGTCCATATGCAGGATTCCTTTCATGCTACACTGAACAAGTGAGATTATATGTTCTATTGGCCCAACTAGACCATAATGCAGTGCATTTCGGAATGTTCATTTCCAAATAACTAACACTGGATTCCACGGTGATATTTACAACTTGTCTTCGGACTGGAATTATAAATTTATTGACACAAAAAGGAATCATCAAGTGATAAACATGTGTCAGAAACAAGTCTGAGAAGATTAATTATTTACATGTATTTATTCTGCAATTTGGTAACTTAATCCACTTGTCTAGGATTCGGTAGCTTTCACAAAATCTGATGTTTTAATTTCTGAAGGAAATTAATGTGATTGCAGAATGCTGAAGCTAGAATTCATCAAGGCATGGAAGTATTTTCCTCTAAATCTAGAGTCCCCCACATCTATCATTTGTTCCTGCCTTACCTAGAACAGTATCGCTAATATTGTCCTGAATAATCTCAATTACAATATGAGAGAAAGTGTTCTTGCACTACCTTCTCCCCTGGTAACATAACAAGAATTGCTTGGTAATACAATTTTTCAGACTAAAAAGCATGCATGCAGATATTTCAGCAGGTCACTGCACAGTTTAAGGCCAACTACAAAAAACACTGGGCAGATAAATTGCTAACTTTGATACTGAAACCTGGCTCTTTCTCAGGGCCACAAGCAGGTTCTTAACAGACCCGATAATTCTTATCTGGACCTTGGATGAGATCAGACTGCAGTTAACCAGGTGGCGGGACAACTCCAAGCTCTCTTGGATGAGACTGATTATCTGGACCCATTTCAGTCCGGCTTCAGACCCGGGTATGGTACTGAATCAGCCTTAGTCGCCCTGTATGATGGCCTGTGCAGGGAGAGAGGCAGGGGGAGTGCGTCCCTGTTGGTCCTCCTGGACCTCTCAGCGGCTTTCGATACCATCGACCATGGTATCCTTCTGGATAGGCTAAGGGGGCTGGGAGTAGGAGGCACTGCTTGGCAGTGGTTCCGCTCCTACCTCGACGGCCGATGCCAGAAGGTGGTGCTGGGGGACTTTACCTCTGAGCCATGGCAGTTATGCCATGGCGTTCCGCAGGGGTCTATTCTGTCTCCCTTACTTTTCAACATCTACATGAAACCACTGGGAGAGGTCATCAGGAGGTGTGGGCTGCGGAATCATCAGTACGCTGATGATACCCAGCTCTACCTCTCTTTTTCAACCAATCCAAGTGAGGCAGTGGCTGTACTGAACCAGTGCCTGGCCGAGGTAATGGGCTGGATGAGGGCCAATAAACTGAAGCTCAATCCAGACAAGACGGAGGTCCTGCTGGTAGGTGGTTCGAACTCCTGGGTAGGTGACTTGGATCTTGTCCTGAATGGGATTGCACTCCCTCTAAAGGACAGGGTCCACAGCTTGGAAGTGCTCCTCGACCCGGAGCTGACTTTGGAAGCTCAAGTGTCGGCGGTGGAAAGGAGCGCTTTCCATCAGCTTCGGCTGATCCATCAGCTGCATCCCTACCTGGAGGACGACCGCCTAGCAACAGTGACGCATGCATTGGTTACTTCCCGGTTGGATTTCTGTAATGTGCTCTACGTGGGGCTGCCCTTGAAGACAGTCCGGATACTTCAGATGGTGCAAAAGAGAGCAGCCAGGTTGCTGACGAGGACTGGGCGTTATTCTCATATAACCCCAGTCCTCTACCAGCTTCACTGGGTTCCCATCGAAGTCTGGGCTCAATTCAAGGTGTTGGTAATTACTTATAAAGCCCTTAACAGCTTGGGACCCGGATACCTGAAGGAACGCCTGTGGCCATATTTGCCCTCCCACCCCTTGAGATCGGCAGCAGGGGCTCTCCTCCCGGAGCCTTCTGTAAGAGATATCAGGAAGCAAAGTACCCGGAGGAGGGCTTTCTCTGCGGTGGCGCCCCATCTGTGGAATGCGCTCCCCAGAGAGGTCCGCCTGGCGCTGTTGTTATTTGTTTGTCAGCGCCAGGCCAAAACCATTTTATTCAAACAGTATTTTAATAAACTTTAATATTTATAGTTTTAATTATGCAGCCAGTGTGTTTCCAAGTTTTAACTGTAATTTTATTTGTTTTATTTATTTGTTGTTGTGAGCCATCCAGAGGCTGTGTAGCAATGGGGATGGCATATAAAAACTTTAAATAAATAAACAAACAAACCACTGCTTTGGAGTCCCATGCATGGACAACCCCCAGCTCTTAGCCTACTTTCAAAAGCTCTCCACACACAATCTGTTCAAGCCTTTCCTGCAATGGCAGTCTACCCTGGCACCCTGCTGGGCAGGAACAGAGAGGCAGAAAGGGTATAAAGGCGGCTTGCGTGGAGGGGGGGATGATGGGAGCTGTAGGCCCAAAGGTGGTTGCGGGGGGTGGATGCATTCCCTTTTGGCTCTGGCCCTACCCACTGCTGATTTCATCCCTACTCCCCCCCAACATATGACACCTACTCAACAGATTACTTGAGAGACGCTCACTTTTGATAGGAATATGGTTGCCCACTCCTTTAGACACATGATCAATTCTCTGAATTAACACAACATGGTGAAGCATATTTTGGGTGCAAACTAGTGAAATGAGAAGAGCATATACTCACCACTAAGGGAGCGGCTTGGTGAGGAGTGTTGGCTGTTTGGTGTGCTCACTGACGGCCCCACGATTGTGGAGGTGAACTCCTTCTCCAAAGAGGAATCTCCATTACCTTTGCAGGTGGGGGATAAAGCAGAGAGCATGGGTAAGTCTGTGCTGTCTTTCTTTAAGAATCTATTTCAAGGCATGCCATTATTTCCCCAGTGACCAGGACAGAAGACTGGAAAAACTGAAAGGCAGCCTCTCCTGCTTCCACTTGAGTAGGATCTAGCTTGAAACCTTTGCAGGAAAAATGATTCACCAGCACTCCTAAAGAATGATCTAGGAAGCATAATCCAGATTCATCAAGACAGTAAAAAGATCTGCAGCGGTGGCTTTAAACTGCACAATCTGAGATGATCAGAGGATCATCTGGATCAACATCTCTTTGTCAACAGAGCCAAAAACTGACTACCAGTCAAAAGAAAGATGACAATTCCTAACTATGTATGCACAGCAGCCTTCTTATGTTCCACAGACTGAATTTATACACACTTTTAGAATTTCAACACTGTTTCACTGTGTATGGCCAAAATAACTGGGATCAACATCCGTTAGTCTGACCAACCTGGTCAATGATGAAGAATGCTGGGAGCTGTCACCCAACACATTCAGAGGGCAGGAGGTTGAGAAGGCTGCTCTAGGCTACCTGAGTGCTTGAAAGCACTACATGGTGCAGTACTTAGGATGTTATATCACATGCCCAATTACAGGACAAAGGGATGTTCACGTAAATTTTGAATCCCTGTGAGTGCAGAAATAAGGACTCGTGCAGACATGGCTTCACCGTTGGATGCTCTGCTTTTGAAAACAACACACAACGTGAATGAAGCAACCTACAGAAACTTGTCATACGGTGTTTAATCAGCAAGAAGAGACTGATAGGATGGCTTTTCAGGAAAAATGGTGACTGCCACATCTAGGCTGAAGAAGACAATATTAAAGCAGATAATTAAGTTCCAGTACATTATATTCTTCATAGAAATCCTTCCCTTGAACTGCGGTTGCGTCCAAGTAGAAGAGAACATATAGCAGAAGTAGTTGCCTCTCTAATTCATTTATGGGAAAGTAGTTGCATATCTTATTAACTGCTTGTTCCTTGCAGCATATATGGAAATCACATGATACTGGAAGTGCCCAGAACCCTGGCGTTTACAAAACTAGTTTTGCAGGGTCTGATAGCTCTTCCTTTTGGAGCAGCTAATTGCTTGCACTAGGCTATACAGTCTAGAGGCACAGTTAAACCAAACCTTTCTTTTTAGTATATGCATCTTTATTTTTTATGTTAACAAGAATCCACCTTCCCATGCCCAACCCTGGCTCATTCTTTACCTGGAAAGACTATGTTAGAGCTCAGTCCTATGTGTGCTTAGTCCACAAAAAGTACTGTAACTTCCAGCGCTCCCCCACACAGCAAACTGACACTGCTGTAGCACAAAAATGCGTTTGTTCTAAAACAGTTCAGCGGGCTTTATATAGGCAGCTTAATGTTTGCCCTGGCATATCTGGCCAGGGCGACTTCTTTTATATTGTTATTTATTTTTATTGCTAATTTTATATTGTTATGTTTGTATTTTATTGTATTTTATTTTGTGTTGTGTGCCGCCCCGAGGCTTCGGCAAGGGGCGGCATAGAAATGTTTTAATAAATAAATAAATAAAATAGCTGCCTGCAGCTCATATAATGCCCATATAATGCCACTTTGTGCTAATGAAAAACCGTGTTTGTATCCCATCATAAACTCTCATATCCTGTTGAAAAGGAGCAAAAAGGCTTAAATTGGCTCTCGCATTGCCACGGATGCCCAAGTCATCCTGGGATATTCTATATGATAGCTAAGCAACCATGGCCACAGTTTGTACGTGCCAGTGGTAACTGTGAATGCTGATGCCACAGTGTGTGGGTACCATGGTTTATCATGACGTACAAACTAGGCAAGGTTAGGTTGTTGCCCTGATTAACCATGCCACAGTTCCCATCACACTGAGTTCACCCCAAGGATACCTGGACTATTGTTTATCTGTGTTAACGCCAGATGTTGTAATTGTTTTGCGCTCTTAATCAGGCTATCAATCCTTCCAGATGGTGTGTTCACAAAGATCTAAGTGGATTCAAACCAAAGAAAGCCAAACATACAATGCTCTCTACACTACTGACCCCTCACACACACACACACACACACACACACACACACACACAAATGCATGCACATACATACACACACACACATCAAAGTTGGTCAACTTCGCAGCATTCGCATTAGTACCTTTGTTAGGAAGTTTGTAGAATTTTGCTAGCTTACTGGGTTCTCTTGTAGCACCGTGACATGAAAAAACACACCCGCCAAAGTTTCCTAATTTAAAAGGTTAGCCATTATTTACATCGTCCAATTCATTGCGTAAGGGCTTCATTAACCAATGCCTTACCAATGGACACTATTCATTTCAAGCTTCTTGAGCACTTGGCAGGTAAAGATGCTTCACTAAGCTTTACCAATTTTTTAAACGGATTATATGATTTGACAAGTTGACTCCCATCTGCCAAGCATGTGCTGACGATAGACAAGGATGCAAAGTGTTGATGACTGGAAGTGTCAATAATTAGGACAACAGCAGTTTTAAAGCATGGCACACAAAGTAAAGGAAGTGGGTGTGTTACTCTAAAAGGACAAAATTAAGATGGGACATGGTGATTTTTCAAGCTCAAGGGGTAGGGGAAATGAAGGTAACAGCTGTCTACAATAACTGAGAATAAGATAAGCCCTTTTGGAATGCAACATATTGGCATGGTTTAGCAAGTTAAGAACAATCATCAGGCCCATGAGCTACTCCCTTATCTCCTCCCATTGTGTGCAAGTTTTGACACTTCTATCCTGGTTTATTTAAACCAGGGATTCCGCATTGTATTCAAAGCACTCTGACCTAGGTAGCAATCTTGTACCACTTAAGTGGAAGTAAGTAAAAGGAACTAATTTCTGAGAGTGTGTGTGTCTGTGTGTATAGGATTGTACTGTTAATATAAGGCATTGTATTGGACCATTTAAACCAAAATTCTCTTAATTGGCTCTTTACCAATCAGCATCTTTATCCAGGATCAAACAAGGACTTAAGAGATAATGGTTAGTTAACAGACACTGAGAAAACTCCAGTTTAAATTATCCAGAATCACAGCATCAAAATGAACACTCAACTGGAGCATGAAAGACAAGAAAGGAACATAAATATTCATACTGTTTTGCTAAAGTATGTTTAGCAAGCCCAGAGACTCCATTAGGAGTAGAGGGGGGCATATAAATGCAAAAATAAATAAATAAATCAGGAGCGTTACATTTGAACCAGGATTGTAACATCCATTGTACAAACTTCAGGAAGACAGCAAATACTATGCATGCATGTGGTTTGGCCAACTTTGCAAGTTTGCATTCTTTACTAAAGATTTTTTAAAAGACTGGAATGATATTTTTGGCTTAGTCCTCAGTGACGTGGTAAAAATCTGTGTCTGAGTCATATCACTTCAGGATGGAGAGGAAGGCTCACAAGAATGATTATTCCTCCATTAAAAAAGGATCCCTGTATACACTCAGGGAGGAGACTAGCCTAGATCTCTTTTCCCTGACTTCTAGAATTCAGGATGCTGCAGGGTGTTTGGAGGAAGAGAATTTGCCACATGAGCCTCCAAATCCAGTCTCATTAGAGCCCTGCAGCTGCTTCTTTTGATGCGGCAGTGGGAAAGGTCACTGGGATGAGAGATGGGTAAAGGAGGCACGAGGCACCTCAGGCAATGTGAAACTTTGCAGGAGGCCCATCTCCAAGTTAGGATACTTTCAGACAGAGCCTTTGGGAAGGAATAACATATATTTATTCACGCAGGGACCAAACAAGCCTTGTGCTATTGACTGCTAATGCATTAGGAGTGGTATGTTTGGTGCAGTCACTGCAGCAAAGAATAATGTCAAACCCCTCCTTTTCTATGAGGCTTTCTTCCCACAATTCAGTCCCTGCTTAGTACTCCCATTGTTTAGAACCACTCTTATCTACTCAGAATGAAAGCTCTAAAAGGCAGGAAGCATTCCTGGAGAAAGACTCAAGGGTGAGGGTTTAGTGCAGAGACAGGTGGTTTTCTTCCAAGTTTGAATGAGCTGTTGTTCTCATGCTCATACAGCTTAATATAATACTCTATACACCAAGAGAAAGGAAATGTACTGTTCCAAACAGTTGAACTCAACTTTAATGTAAGCATGACATACAATTGTGTGCCTTTGAATATTAGATCTTTTTCAAAATAAATGTTTATCCTCCTCTCCTGGAGTGCCTGCGGCCTTTTCCCTGAACTGCTCCATTCCTCAAACAGCTAAAAGGGAATCTGAGCCATGCTAAACCTGTGTGAGCACCCAGAAGCAATCACACTCCACTCAATGTGGTTTAGCAAAACAGCCTACAGGAACAAGCAGCTCTCACCAGAGCAAATTAAGCATCAATGAACTGAATCTAGGATTTGTTCTGCTCCTCCCCAGCTCACAGTGAATTATGGTCCCTCCCTCTCCCTAGGCTTTTATTGAATAGCCAGTCAGTAAAAGGGGGAGAGGAGAAAAGGGGCCTTCAGTATAAACAGGCACTGCTCTTATCTTGCCCTTTTTGTTGTTCATCCATATCCAATAGCTTGCAGTTACATTCTGAACAGCCACTATTCCCCCTGTTCAGATAAGGAATCCTAGGGATCAATTTATCTGCATCTAAATAGTGACTTCTTCCACTGCTCTGCATGGCATCAGAAACACCCAGCCCACCCCTAATGGCACCAGTGTAAATAAAAACAGAAACAGCATGGAGTTATTTCAGACAGCCTCCCCTTCCCATTTAACTTACATTATTCTACCTTGCTGAAGAAACCCTGGAGTGTTATCACAGCCAACTCCTTGGAAACAGCACTGGAATACAGACTGTGAATGTATGTGGCTGCATCTCGGCAGTAGGGTGAACTCAGCCACTCACCTTCCAGGAAGAAGAGATTCCTGGAAGTGAGAGAAACGGCCGTCATTTTACAGTCAAGCAGCACGATTAGAGCAGGAATCCG